CAGACAGCTTTCCGGATCATGTGGCCAGCATGACTAAAGTGCTTCTGGCGCAACAGAACACTGTGATGCACAGAAATGCCGTTTACCTTCCCTCCACAGTGGTACCTATTGATCTACTTGCACTGGGATGCTTTCAAACTGCTAGGTTGGCAGGAGCTGGGACAGAACAATGGGAGCTCACCCTATCAAGGGGATTCGAATCGCTGACCTTCTGATTGGCAAGCCCAAGAGGCTCAATGGTTTAGATCACAGCACCACCCGTGTCCTTTACCTTTACTATAAGCTAAAGTATAAATGCTGTAAAGGAATAAATAAATTTCAAAAAGTGAGCAGCCTCAGCCTCAAAATTCTATGCTTGCACAAGCCTGGGTAGAAAAAATGGGACTTTCATAGGAGCCCAGGAAGTTGCCTTATGCTGAGTCAAACTAGTGGTCTATTCAACTCAATATTGTCTACACCGATGGGTACGGTTGCTCCAGAGTTTAAGGAAGAAGTATTCTCCAATGCTTTCATTCTCTGAGTAGCTTTATAAGCAGAAAATATTTAAATGAGACATATTTTCTATTTTACAACTGCAACCCTAAAGTGCACCAGCTATGGTAGGATATCAACAACAATGTCCTATGCCCCACTAGAATAACCTCTATGAGGCCATAGGATTGCAGCCTTGTCGTATTTATATTGTTCTGTATTGTTCTAACTTTTTGTAGTTGTTGTAAAAGGGAAGCAAAGAGATTTTTCCACACTGAGAAGAACATTGGCTAATCCAAGAAGTCTAAAGAATTCAGGCAAGCCTTAAATGAGATTACTCTGAGACGCTGCTTAAGATGGGTTAAGAGACAGGCGTGCACGCCAGCAAGCCTCTACAAACATTTTAGCGCATGTATCCAATAAGTATTTCCTAACTGGAGAGTAAATAGCTTAATTTGTTTCCCGGCAGTGTTTTCATAATATCAAACGACATCACTATTTCCCTTTGAAAAATCTCTGGGAAGAGGGTTGGTGCATTCAGATAAATTGAAGCATGTTGAGCTCTGCTTGCTGCACGCTTGAGGGAAAATAAACACACGTAACTTAATGCACACACAAAACGTCCCTCTCCTCATTTTGCCTCTGCCAATAAATTTGTGAAGTGCCAAATCAGTAAAACAATCACTCAATAGCACTGAGTAGTTTAGTCATCCATATTGCAGGGGTGGAAATACATACAGTATTTTAGGGAAGAAGCTAGGAATATGGATGTTTTGAAATGCTGCAATAAGCCCAATTTGGATGGTGGAGGAAGGAGTGACAATTTGAGAGCAGAAAAGTAATTTTTGGTCTCAACTGGCTGTGGATAATCTCTGTAGCAGGGCTAATTCTGTCACAATTGTTCCAAAATAGCGTAACTGGCTAGAACGGGAACCCCCAATGTGGCACCCTCAGATACTCCCATAGTGCCCACCAAAAACCCCTGCCCCTTCCAATTTTGTTTAAAAATTTGGAGTGGTTTTGCCTAGGTTTGACATATTTCAAAAAGTGAAAATCTTGACACAAAAGTTGAGTTGTTGAGCTTTTTTGGGCAAAGTTGCTGATTGTTTTGGGGTTTTTTGGGTTTTACCAAAAGTTGTTGAGTTTTTTTTGCCAAAATCTACACTTCCTACATAGGTTGCTATACGTCCGGATTTTCCCGGAAATTTCAGTAATTTCCACCCGGACACTGTTTCTGACTGCCGTATTCCAGCTATGTCTGGGATGTATAGCAACCCTAGGTTTCTTGAAGGGGAGGGAGTGTTGGCTGCTGTTTGATTGTCAGTTTTATTTGTTTTGAGGTACATGCCAGTGTTTTACTTGTATTTTTGGAGGGGGGGCAGCATTCTGAGCATTGCCAGTTATTCTTCTGTGCAATGGATATTTTGTGGTGCCCGTAACTTAGATTTCCTAATGTTCTACCAAGGCAAAAAATATTGGGGAACCTGGACTAGAGAGTTGGATTTTGACTGGAGATGCTTGTATTCAAATACTTGCTGAGCTTTGAAGCTCACTTGGTAACACCTCAGTAAGGTAGTGTCTCTTAGCCCAACCTACTCTGTAGGTAGGGAGCCTGTGTGGCTGATTTTACAGTGGACAGCTCTCTATTAGAAAGGCTGTCTAGTCCATGTCCAGCTTAAAGATAAAGAACAATTGGATAAAACAGTTGCTGGGTAATCAAAACATGCTACTCTGAAATTCATAAAGGAAAAGGGTAATTCATTTATTTATTTATAGTATTTCTATTCAGCTTTTCAGGCAGTCCTGATATTTCAGTATCATTGGAAATGAAGACAAGTCCAGTTGGTTGGATCCTCCGCACCAATATCAATTCCTTCTCTCTAGTTTGTCATCTACATAGCTGTTTCAAAAAGCACAAAGCAAGATCATTTATTTATACCATTCTGAATCCCGTGCTTTAAGAAAACCTTAAGATAGTGGATATGAAAATGAAGCAAAGAAGAAGGAGAATTGCAGGAATTATTATAAACATAAAAGGTAGTCCTGAGTTTAATTTCTCTCTCTGGTTGATTCATCTAAAATGGTGTGTGTGTGTTTGTGTGTATGCATGTGTGGATATTCCTTGAACATCTGTGAAATTCGAAAAGATTTTGAAAGTCCTCTTCAAAGTATTGCTGGGAATTAGTGGCTTGAATTCTTTTTTTAAAAAAACCCGTTTTCATCCTTTTGCATCTGTTCAAACAGCTGTGGATGTGGTGAGTCGGAAAGGGTGAGGCAAGTCATCAGCTGTCCTTCTGAAGAACAAAGACAAGCTGCCTTGCTAGGATGTGGTTCTGTTAAAAGGTAGTTGTCATCTTCCCACTGGCATGAGATTTGAGGAACCCAAAGTCACCCTGAAGCCAGATTTCCTGTGTCACAGAGCTCAGGTCTAAAATCAGTACTTACTACTGAGTCACAAGGCTGGTATATGTATGTGAGCAAAACAATCATTTGGGTCTGGCTCATAATTACTTACATTGCTTGAGGAACAGGAAGGTTAGGTAGGGTACCCTAAATTTCTCCAGTCCACAGAGTCATGGCTGTGTTGCCTAACATGCATAGCTTCACCAACTTCATCTCTAGGAATGCAACATAAGAAGAGGCCTGCTAGATCAGACCAAAGGAGCATCGATTCCGGCATTCTATTTTCACTGCCTATGAGAAACCCACAAGAAGGACATGGGAGTGACAGCATCAGAAGCCTAAGTAGCTTCTGATACTGGAGACAATATTTTGGCCAGCCCTTCATTATACAAGTACATAAATCAATTTCAGCAGACTAAAGAATGGGTAAAACAACATGTCCATAACACCAATGGCTTCAAGTTACAAGAAAGGAGATTCCAACTAAACATACAGAAAACAATTTTCTGAAAGTCAGAGCATCTGTCAGGGATGCTTTAGCTGAGATTCCTGCATTGCAGGCGGTTGGACTAGATGACCCTTGGGATCCCTTGGAACGCTACAGTTTTATAATTCTATTAAACACCATAAAGAAATACAAAATAATCACCAGTTACTGTCTCATCTAAAGGAGAAAGCATGCTAAACAAGAGAATAAGATTGTTGCTTAAATGAGTCTTCAAGAGACATCTGAAGGTTAACAGTGAGGATACCTGCTGAATCTCTGCTGGAAGAATGTTCCACAACACCAGATCAATTACATGAAATGCCTTGCTTGAGGCTGTACACACAAGTCACCTAGACTCAGGTTTCCCAGTTCATCCATTTGCAACAGGCAACTGACCCTGGCAGTAGAGACCTAGACAGATTTGCTGCCAACCCTACCAAATCTGCTTTCTGAAAAACTCAGTCCTATAATTGGTAAAAAATAAAATAAAAAAGGTAAAGGTAAAGGGCCCCTGGATGGTTAAGTCCTCTCAAAGGCAACTATGGGGTGTGCTGAGGGAGCTGGCATTTGTCCACAGAGAGCTTTCCGAATCATGTGGCCAGCATGACTAAACCACTTCTGGTGCAAAAGAATACCATGACAGAAGCCAGAAGGCACATAAACATTGTTTACTTTCCCGCCGCAGCGGTACCTATGGGACCGCCTCTCCTGGTATGTCCCACAGAAGAACTTACGGTCTGCAAATAAAAACACCCTGAAGATCCCAGGTCACAGAGACGTTAGGCTGGCCTCAACTAGAGCCAGGGCTTTCTCGGCCGCGGCTCCAATCTGGTGGAACGCTCTGTCACAAGAGACTAGGGCCCTGCGGGACCTGACATCTTTCCGCAGGGGCTGTAAGACAGAGCTGTTCCACCAGTCCTTTGGTCAGGCCGCAGCCTGACCCCCCTCCTCTGGCAATCTGCACAGAATTTTGCTTAGTGGTTGCCATCAATTTGATTTTAATTAATTTTTATAATGAAAGGTTTTTAGAATGTTGGATTATTTTGATTGTTGTTAGCCGCCCTGAGCCCAGCTTCGGATGGGGAGGGCGGGGTATAAATAAAATTTATTATTATTATTATTATTATTATTATTATTATTATTATTATCTACTTGCACTGGTATGCTTTCAAACTGCTAGGTTGACAGAAGCTGGGACAGAGCAACGGGAGCTCACCACGTTGCAGGGATTCGAACCACTGACCTTGCAATCGGTAAGCCCAAGAGGCTCAGTGGTTTAGACCACAGTGCCACCCACGTCCTAATAATAATAATAATAATAATAATAATAATAATTTATTTATTCCCTGCACATCTGGCTGGGTTTCCCCATCCACTCTGGGCGGCTCCCAATCAAATATTTAAAACACAATACAGTTTTATGTATTTCTATAGCTGAAATACATCTATTTGGCTTAGTGATTGATTGCATTATGATGGCAATGCTCCTTTGTCTAGGCAACTATATGACCAGATGCATATTTATACAATTTGTATAATGGCTAGAATGGCAGATTTTAAATACATAATTAATTCTTATACTCCAGTGCTGGAATGGTCCATTAACTTTATTTTTTATGTTTCGCTTAAGAGAACTGTTGGTTCTAGTTTCTGCCCCCCCCCCCCCCCCGGTTTCTTTCTAAGCCAGTTAACAAAGAACTTAGAAACCAGAAGGTCTTTTTGCTTTCTTAATGTCTGGAATCCAGTAAGGAATTGCATGACTTTGGAATAACTTTGGGGGGGGGCACCCTTCCACAGTTCATGGATAAGCCTATAAATGGCTTCCAGTCATAATGGCTGTATCAGCTTGGCTGGGTTCTTAAATCTGGGGGGTCTTTTTCATGGTCCCACTGCTGGGGAAGACACACAAGATAGGGGCATCTCTGTAGTGGATGGCTCTATGTAGGCCTTAAAACTGATAATGGAATCATAGAATTGTAGAGTTGGGAGGGTCATCAAGTCCAACCCCCTGCAATGCAGGAATCTCAGCTAAAGCATCCATGACAGGTGGCCATCCAGCCTCTGCTTAAAAACCTCCAAGGAAGGAAAGTCCCCCACCTCCCGAGGGAAACTGTTCCACTGTCAAGCAGCTCTTACTGTCAGAAAGTTCTTCCTGATGTTTAGTCAGAATCTCCTTTCTAGGAACCTAAATTCATTGGTTTGGATCCTACCCTCTGGAGCTGGAGAAAACAAGCTTGATCCATCTTCCATGTGACAGCCCTTGAGATATTTGAAGTTGGCTATCATATCTCTCAGTTTCCTATTTTCCAGGCTAAACATCCCCAGCTCCTTCAACCCCTGTGCACCACTTTGATGTTATTGGATGGTATATAACTATTAATCAATAAATGTAAAATTAATTTTGAAAGGTCTTGCCCATCCCCATCAGTGGTGGTGGGGTATTCTGATCATTACAAATATGCTTTAGAAGTTTGCTGCCATGATGTTCCTAGTCATACATTATTTGAAAGGGCTCATTGTTATCCTTTCTCTTCCTTTCTTTTTTCCATTCTTTGGCCTGCCCTCCTGTTCTCTGATGTCCTGAGGATGGACACTTGCCAAGTCGTTCCTTCCAAACACATTAGTTTGTATCATTCATCATGCAACATGCCACAAAGCTGATAGCCCAAGTATGAAAGGCAAACAATGTCAGGGTGTTCACAGGGTAGAAACTACACTTCTTAAAACGAATCCATGTTCTTTTTAACCCTCTCAAAAGCAGTACGTTTGTTGCCATAGTAATGCTTCCTAATCTGTCCAAAATGTATTCTTAGGATGACACCCAGTGGCCAGGTCAATTAACAACACTACATTTTCTTTAGTTCATTCTTTTCTTGCTGCCAATAATTGTATATATGTAGAGATATGTCAGACCTTCCAGATAAAATTCCACTTCAACTATCAGCCAGCATCAAGTTTTCTCTGAAATGCTGAAGGCTCCATTTTCTCTAGATTCTTTTTTTAAGAAAAGAGACTGAGCTTGATTATATTTAAGAAAAAACAAATCACAAGAAAATTCACACACACACACACAAACAACAATATTCTAACCAAACGCATGCAGAAAATAATCTTGCTAGTTCTTCTACAAAAGCAAGCATGCTGCAGCAGCAGTGCACTAAGCTATGTCAAGGAAGCGTCCTTCTACATCACCAGCAGCAGACAAGTGAAAACAAGCAGTCATTTTTAATTCGATGCTGTTAAAGGGTTTGTATGGCTTCCACCCATTTCTATCCTCCTAGATTTTCATGGTCAATTTTTGGGGGGTGGCATAATTAGGAAGGTAAGAATAATTCCACACTTACATTATTGTAGACTATGGCATCATTTTGATGGAAGAAAGCACAATGCTACGGTTTAAAAATAGAGCCTTGTAATATTCCTTGTGTTATTCTAGCAGATCTAGGTGACTGCATGTTCAGTGAGAGGAGCATTCTGTCTTATTACTTATAGAGCCCTCTCCTCTCACCTTTGCCATAGGCATGGCAAGAGTAGTGATATTTTACTGAAAGGATCTACTGCCAGCATACATTTTGTGGAAGGTAAGAATGGGGCTTCTGTGTGTAAATAGCTGTGCTCTCACATACCGTTCCACATAAATTCTTCACCATCAGCTTATGTGGAAGACCCATTCTCACTTTCCACCAAATGCATGGAGTTTGAGAGCAGGGCTAGCATATAAAATCTCTCTCCTTCTCCACTCACTGCATGAGTAGCACTGCCAAGAAACCCATCCATATAAGAAGGGAATCCCTCAATTGCAGCTTCTACCTCAATAGTCTGCACTTCTTGTTACCCAAAATTACCTTAATTATGAGAATCTAAAGTGCCACTCTCTTTTAGGGTCCCCCAAAGTAGAGTACAGATTCCAGGTTGTGGTGTGGAGGCACATGAGGTCACCATCTTGTTGAAACTAAGCAGGTCTGGGTCTCGTCCTTATCTGGATGAGTGACACCCTGGGAACCATATGTATACTACCTTGGCCTCTGATGGAAGAATGGCAGTATATACATATAATAAAAGAAGCACATGCACTCTGATCATTTTTAATCACTTGACAGCATGGTTGCATAGTAGTGTTTCTGTTTTGTGAAACGTGTTGCAAGTGAATTTCTGAAAAGGGAGGGAGGTGGAGAAAATCCTTAAGGAGGAAAGTGTGTGTCCTTTAGAATTTCCCTGAATTTTATTGCAGCTTTCTTCTTGGAAACCAAGATAGATTTCATTGTAAAGGAATCAATGCCAACCTTCTCTCTGTATTGATTTCCAAAGGTTAAGTCTGAATGACAAGATTAATTTTAAACTTACTGAATGTAGCAAAGAAGAGTCTCAACTCCGCCATCTCTCTCCCTCTTCTGGTTGGCTTGGGCTACAATTTGGATTTTTTTTTTAAAAAAAGAGCTTTGTAATTGGTCTCTTACTGCTTTCCCCCTTCAGCATCCATATGCAGATCAGTATCTTCATATTTATCAATCCCAGTTTTATCGTGTCCATCTTCAAGGGAGTTCTGGGCAGTAGACATGGGTCACCCAGCCACCATTTAAGCTTCACACTATCAACAGCCCTTTGGAATAAGTTCATCGTAAAGTGAATCCTTGGTCCAGGACCACACATTAAGCTTCAGAGGTATGAACCCTGATTTTCCCAGTCCAATACTGACATTCTGTCTACTGCGACCACCTATGCTGGTTCAGTACAATTTGCTGCCTGAAGCAGAACTCAAACTACACTGATTCTTGCCTGTACTGTCGGCTTTACCCCACAGCACAAGGCAGGCCCTGTACTAGGGTCAGAGGTTGATGTGAACCTCTCTAGTTTGCACTTTCTGAAACAATATGTGACTCCAAATGAAGCCATCCTTCAAGATGTTGGGAATCAAGCCTTTATCAGGAGAAACTGGCCACTCTCCAGGCACCCGGCTTGATCTCCTGTTGACCTCCCTGTCTGCATTCCCCAGCAGGATCCAGGCAGAGGTCGCGATAGGCGATCCTTCTCAGAGTGAGAAGAACACACACCCCTCTTTCCTGCCCCCAGGCAGAGGAAAGAGATAGACAGAAACGTATTTACATTCCTTTATTTCTGTCTTTGCAGCGTTACAAAAATCATGACTGCTCTCTTCAAGCTCCAGCAGTCGAGAGACAAACTCCTCCTGTACTTCATGTACAGCTCATATTACACTCTGAGCTAATTCCGGTGCCCTCTGCACTGTGAATTGACTGTCCCTCTGTTTCCCACGGAACAGTCCCAACATTCCCATTATGTTTTGCTTTCAAGCTACCAGCTCGCGGCCGCATTGCTTCTATATCGTAACACAAAATTCACACTTCTCTGAATTTTGTGTAGCAGTTCTTCAACCATATAATCTGCACAAAAAATTGTACATTAGGAGAAAGTGTAAAATGCATACATTTGTGGGAAATAGCATATAAAATGCATAGTATATGGGGAAATTGCTTGCAAAGATGTGTATATTCGAGGGAAAATTGCACAAAAATGCCAGCAAATTTTCATGATGAGTTTTGAAATAAATAAATCATAAACTAATGCATCCTTACCCTGTCCCACACATGAGGAGTCACTTGCATATCAACTTTCTATATGCCCAAAATTAGTACAGTGTAGTAAGTAACAGCAGATCTAACTTCCGCTTTGAATTATTATTATTATTATTTATTATTATTATTATTGAATTTATATTCCACCCTATACCCAGAAGTCTCAGGGTGGTTCACAGAACAAAATCAAAATATGAAACCACAAAATATATAATCAAAATAAAAACAACCCAATACCCCACAATCCACATTTTAAAAGGGCATAGGATGTCAATCAAATCAACCAAAGGCCTGGTTAAAAAGGAACGTTTTTGCCTGGTGCCTAAAGGTGTATAATGAAAGCACCAGGTGAACTTCCCCAGGGAGAGCATTCCACAGATGGGGAGCCACTGCAGAGAAGGCTTGTTATCATGTTGCCACCCTCCGAACCTCTTGAGGAGGAGGCATACAAAGAAGGGTTTCAGAAGATGATATCAGGGTCCGAGTAGGTTCAAATGGAAAGAAGTGGTCCTTGAGGGATGTCAGGGAACTGACATCAGAGCGAGAGGCGAAGGGGAGGCTCCTGGATGATGCTGGAGAAGGACCCAGCAGCAGGGGGAGAGGCGACTCAGTGGAGGGGGAAGCATTTAAGCGCAACACCGGGAACAAAAGTGAGCAGATGGGAAAATCGGAGAGAGGGCTCACGGACTCTTCACTGGAACTCAGTGAGGAGGGGACAGGTCCCCGCACCCACGCCCACCCTGCGCAGAAGGCTCCCGCGCAGTGAGAGGCGGAGGCGATTGGGTGTCAAACAGCTCTTATGTTGGAAGAGATCTCAAGAAACGCCCACTGACGGATTCTGCTAGTGACTGAGACAGTCCTGATCAGAAGGGGCTGTGCAGTCAGAAAGGTTTAACAAGGCAAATCAGCCTAGAGAGGCACCAGTTTACGCACGAGTAACTCATACTCATTACAGCAATCCGTCAGTCCCTGAAAGTTGCTCGTGCGCAGCAGCAGGCAGGCAGCATCATGGAGGGCAAACGCTGGAGGAGAGGAACCGAGATTTGGAGCAGCATGTGGCCATTCTGACGGCACGGCTGGACGAAAGGCGGTCTCCAAGATGCACAGGTCAGACCCACCCCATAGCAAGGAAGGTACCGGGACTGGTGCACAAGTTTGGGGGAAGCCGCAAGAATACAGTGCTTAGAACGGAAATAGAGTACGCATTGGACTGTGCAGCATAACGATTTTGAAGACGACGCGGCGTGGTGGCATATGTTGTGGGTCACCTGCAGGACGGGGCCAGAGAATGGGTCAGACTCCTTATGGCGACGCAGAATTCCGCGTCATGCAGGACCTGGAGGAAATTCTTCCAAGCGATGGACGCGATGTTTTCCACTGATGTTCCAAAAAGTGTGACTAAGCGGGAATTGATGAACTGTAAACAGGGGAGCCAGTCAGTCAGGGACTACTGGTCGCGCTTTGCCATGATAGTTCATCGCCTCGGGTGGGAACTGGGCCCGAACCCATACAGATGTTATTCGAGGAGGGGTTGTCCCCACCGGTTAAGGATGAACTTTCCCGCGCACCCCGCCCACAGGGGATGGATCAGCTGACCAAGGCTGTGCTTGCAGACAGCGCGCCAGGAAGCGCGGGCCCAGGAGAGGCGGGGAAGGGAGAGAGCAACGCTGCCATGACTACCGCATTCCTGAAATACCAAGGCAGCCCTCCCCACCAGCAGAGCCAATGGAAATAGATGGGCGCGCGCTGGAAGTTTCAAGCACCAGCGAAGGGCGCAAGAAGGAGGGAAAGGATTGGAAACCTCCAAAAGGTGTTACCTTTGCCAGCGGCCAGGGCATTTTGCCAGAGCCTGCCCTCAAAGAAAGGCTTGGCAAGGAATGGTGGGAGCCGCAGGGGGTGAGGAGGAGGTGGTAAAGGAACAGGAACAGGGAACGAGAACGCTTGGCTGCCAATCAAGGGGCACAACAGCCAAGCCAGCCACCAGTAAAAGTGCCCCAACCAGACCCCCCCAAGGCGGCAATAGCCATCAAGTGGTGCTAGAACTCCCAAACGGGCACCCAGTCAAGGTGAAAGGCATGCTGGATTCAGGCAGCTCATGTAATTTCTTCAGCAAGGACTTTGCATTAGAGCACCAGCTCCACTTACTGCCTTTGGATTTTCCCCTTGCAAGTGACCACCATTGATGGCAGGGAGCTTCTAGGAGGGGAAGTGACACACCAAACCCCGCCAATGAGAATGAGGGTGTCCAGGCACTCGGAAACCATCGCCTTCACGTCGCCTCGCTAGCAGGACCCCAACAATATTAGGGATGAGCTGGCTAGCACAACATGATCCAGCGGTGGCGTGGCATCAGAGGACAGGCCCCTTTGGGTCCGCTTCCTGCCTGGAACACTGTCTAGGGGGAAGCCCTAAGAATGACCGTGGCCAGGGTGGCTGGGATGGCGGTGGAGCGGAAAGGGGGTGCCGCCACAATACGCAGATCTGCGGGAGGTCTTCAGCGAAAAGGAGGCAGATAGACTGCCACCCCATAGGCCCTTTGACTGCCAGATCAACTTGCTTCCGGGGGCTCAGCTGCCAGTGGGTAAGCTGTACGCCATGTCAGACAGGGAGATGAAGGAGTTGCAGAGAATTTATCGACAAGAACCTGAAAAGAGGCTTCATAAGAGAATCAAAGGCAGTAGGGGCAGTCCGGTGTTCTTTGTGGACAAAAGGACATAAATAAACCCAGGCTCGTAGTGGACTATAGAGCTGTCAATTTGGTGTCAGAACCCGTGACCTTCCCAATGCCCAGGATTGACGACATTTTAACGCGAGTGAGGAAAGGCAAAATTTTACCAAGCTGGACCTCAGGGGCGCATACAATTTGATCAGGATGAGGAGGGGACGAATGGAAGACCACAATGTTCACACCCCTAGGTGCCTTTGAGTACTTAGTTATGCCTTTTTGATTACAGTCAGGCTCCGCCTGCTTTCAAGCTTTCATGCACCACGTGTTGGGGTCTCTGCTGTACAAGAACTGCGTAGCCTTCTTGGACGACGTCTAATTTATTCGGACAATGAGGAACAACATGTTAGAGACGTCAGGGAAGTATTACAACGACTGCAGAAGCACCAGTTGTGGGTCAAGCTGGAAAATGTCAGTTTTACGCCAGAGAAGTCGAGCTTCTGGGGTAAAAGTTGTCTGACAAAGGCTTAGCGATGGACCCAAGCAAGGTGCAGGCAGTGCTGGAGTGGAAGGCTCCCAAGACACGGAAGGACGTACAGAGGTTCCTAGGGTTCAGCAACTTCTACAGGAAGTTCATCAAGAACTTCGCCCACTTGACAGCGCCAATCACGGATTGTCTCAGTAGCAAAAAGAAGTTTGTGTGGACAGAAGAGGCCCAGCAATCCTTCGAAAACTGAAGAAGGCGTGCCGCATCGGAAGAGCAACTCCTGCACGTAGATCTGGAGAAACCCTGAGGCTAGAGACCGACGCGTCCGACAGAGCCGTGGGGGCGGTCCTTTGCAACCAGGGAAGGGAAAGCAGGAATGGAAACCGTGTGCCTTTTTCTCCAGAAAACTGAGCAAGTCGGAGCAAAACTATACAGTGTATGACCGCGAACTGCTGGCAATCTACGCGGCCTTTCGTCGTTGGCGTCATCTACTGATAGGGGCGCAACAACAGATCCAGGTTTGCACAGATCACAAGAACTTGGAGTACTGGAGAACCGCACGAGTACTCAACCAGAGACAGATTCGATGGGCACAGGAGTTCTCCAAGTTTTTCTTTGAAATCCGCATACGTGCCCGGAGAAGAAAACGTAAGAGCAGACGCCTGCGTAAACCGGAGTACCTGGAAGGAGGGGGCCGCCGGAGAAACGACACGTGATCCCCGAGGACCGAAGGGTGTGTGGGGAACTTTGGTGGGGAAATGAGAACTAGCCGGGCTGACCAGAAACGACGTGTTCGCGCAAACTAAAATCCGGGAACTACGAGACTGGAAGAGGGACCCAAGAAGGGTTTGAGGAGAAGGAAGGGGTACTGTACTATAGGGGAG